CTTACTATATATATATATATATATATATATATACCATCTGCATTACCGTTCGTCAATGCCCTGAATATAAGAAGTCCTAGTTACGGCGTGAGAAAGTATAGCTCAGGACATAAGTTTGAGGCCCATTTGGGCACACATTTTTTTAGCAATTGCGCTGTTTTCTTTTATTTTACAACCTTAAAGATTCATAGGCTTCCAGCTTGCTCCACCACTATTTGCATGGGAGACAATTTTTGTAACCTATTTGTTCCCAGAAGGCCACCAAATACCCTCATAAGACTGAACGAAAACCAAAAATAAATAAATAATTCCTTGTATTCCCATAAAAGTGGACTTCTTTGGTATCAACTATGACTTTTTCAGAAATTGACAATAAGGTAGGCAGGGTTTCTGTTTGAGATGACGATTAAGGTGTCCAAACTGGGTCTATGTAGATAACTCTTAAGAGAGAAAAAGCAATAAAGTCTTAATAGATGTTTCCTGGGATCTGCCTTAGAAGCCAAATATACCTAGAGTTACACTGGAATTTGTCAGGCCAAGACTTGCATTACATGCATCTTTATTTTTTGGTCAGTAAGATGGATACAAAGAGTAGGTCATGGACTTCAACTTATACATCAACGAGAAGAGTGGGAAATGGAGTTCCTTTACTGTTGAGAGAGACCTATCAAAATATATCTTTGAAAAATGTCAGTACATTATAAAAAATGTATGCATTGAAGGATAAGATCTAGGGTTGGATTTGAAACCCATCACCAAGAACAACGGAGATAGGACAAGTGATGTATATAAGTCATAGATGAATCCATTAAAAAATTCCATAAAATATTTCAACGAAGTTTTAAAAAAGAGAAGAAAAGGGTCATAGAGGTTTCATTTTTGCATTGTCTTCACATGTTGGCCTCCACATCCTTTCCTGGTATTTGTCGGGTAATTAGACTCATGAGACACCTATTCATGTATAAAAGAAATCTGTTATCACTAATGAAAAGCATATTATCTTAGCCATTAAGACTAATCACAAGTTTTTGTCCTTTTATTTTTTATCTTTGTAGGAACAAACTAAATCAAATGACACCACCAGGATATCTTAACTGGTCTTGTAACAACACTTAAGTTCATAAATTTTATTCATCTCAAAACCGAAATCAATATTAATTAATTCCCCAAAAAGTAAGTTCAATTAACTTGCCATTCAAGAGGCGCACTCGAATGTCTCCTACATTCATGTTGTGTAGATAATGCTGACTCTCAGATGTATGGTGAGCCTGTGCCTGTCTTCCATCAGCATCAGTCAAGGATGCAATGTATCTTTTCACTGTTGGCCAATCAGCAGGTCCAAGCTCTTCATCATCTCCAAGCTCTCCAAAGGCTTCTAGGGCCTTATTCATCATCTCATACCTTGTGTACTCCAAAATTCGTATCTGCCATTACATATCAATCGCTGCAGTATGAATTCTCTGCCGATCATTGACACATCCCCTTATGAGGATAAAAGCCAAGCGCCATACAAAGTACAGCGCAAAACTAATAGATTGGAAGACAAAGAAATACGTGTATTTCTTTGTAGTGTAGATAGAATGAATTAGTAAGCCAAATTTTCTTGATTGATAGGAGGCAGCAAAAAGAATGATGCAAAAGACATGAATTAGGCAAGAACCTTAACACCTTTAACAAATCGAACAAACTATCCAATAAAGCCACCGGACAGAAATTGAAGTTTCGGTCTTGTCCCACAATGTTTTCTGGTCGCTAAGTATCATAAACTTGAACCATTTTATCAAAATGTAGATTTGAACAAAAAATAGAACCATTGTCCATGAAGCAAAATTCAGTTTGTTGTCTATTGCAGCTGATAAATTTGGGTCAATATTTATTGCTGACCCCAGATAGTTAGGATAAGGCTCAAATGATGCTGATATATTGTCGTGAACTTTCATATTGAATGAAGGTTATAAGGCCATATTAAGTGTTTCATGTCCTTTCAAAGAGGTCAGATGTCTAAAAGGCTTCACAGACCTTCTAGAAGATGCGCTTCATGAAATCACCTTCCAGGAGAGGGAGGCGGCCAATTATCAGAAGGTTTACAGTCAGGAATCCCAAGTGACAGATCTATAATATCCTATAGTACAAGACTTGGATAGCTTGTCAGCATCTCATAAGGAGATGGGTTTCAGCAGTGCCAGCTCCACCAAAATTGGCCTTTCAAACATAACACATCCATATATCATTTAAGAACTGGGGGTAGGGGAGAGGTGGGATATTAAGTAAGATTAAGTACTGTCAGCAACATTTCAACAAAGAAGGTTAGGCAGAAGCATCTGAGTTTCCAAAGTATCTGATGTGTGTGCTGTGTCTATGGTGTGTAAACATATGCTAAAAACCATTAAGTGCATGACCAAGTTACATAGACAGTATTTCAAGTTTACATATACACACAGATATTTATATTTGTATGTATGTATCTATGAATAAATGTTTCAGTATCGTTTTATTCATACATATGCATATATTTATGAAAAATTCACATTCTTAAGTTAGTTTCAATTGGCGAGGAATAACTTTCCTCCATAGTTTCAACCATAACTACATAAATGTGCAGCACATGCCACTATTTCACCAAATAGGTTTACTGGAAGTTTGAGTTTCAAATGCATTAAAATAGCATATAATACTTGATCAATTAGGGTAAAAATATCTTCATCAGAGAATGAAGGATTAAAGCCCAAAAATACAAACTTACATAAATAATTGAACTTTTCCCTTTCCAGTGGTACACAATGACAAGGAATTATGGTTTCTACATAACCACTAAATGTATACATGCACATCACATTAAGTGACGAGAATAATATGCAATGACAGACGACATAATATGCAATGACTCTCAATAGACAAGGTCCATTTCAAAGGTTAAAGTTGAACTGTACAATAGAAAAACAGTGATAATAGCTTTGAAAAAAGAAAAAAAGTCACAAGTCATCTGAAACTAAACAACGACTTAACTGATGAATTGTGAGCCAGTAACAGTTACTTTCAAAGGTAACAACTGATTTAAATTTTTTTTTCCTTATTTTCCATTTCCCTAAATTTACACTACTAAGAGAAATTTCTTAAGGGATATAGTGAGCAAAAACACTAAGAAAAATAAATAACAAACCAGATAATAAAAAATACTAGTCTTTTAAAACAAATCTTCAAAAAAAGAGCTTCAAGGAGAATATGACAAAAACCCAACATCAAGTATCTCTGAGCTGCACAGTTCACAATCTACAATGAAAAGCAACCCAAAATCAGAAAGTTATTTTGAGCCATACCTTTGTATCTGAGAGTTTGTCCATGTTTAAAAAGTGTAGAACAAATTGGGTAGTTGATCCATTCAAAATAAGTGTCAAGAACACGATTCCACCGGTAAGGAAAACAAACTGTAGCAGAGAAAAGTTCCTTAATAAAAAGACACAAACAGCTAAATGCATGCCCAAAAACATTCAGCTTCTACAAACACTTACAGAGAAATCAAATGCAACTAAGAACACAATACCTGATCACCAGTTTCTTCTTGGAGGAAAGATGTACTAGATTTGTCACTAGCGCGCTGTCACGAAATAAATAAGAACCTTGGTAAAAAGCAAGAGACATCACACACATGCATGTGCGCGCACCCACACACACACACAAATAAAGAATGAGGTAAAAGGTACAAGAATACGTATCCATGTCAAACAAATGAAGTACAAAAGAAATTACTGATCAGTCCAAGTCCAAACACGAGAAAAATAGAGAACTTGGTTACAAACATACACACATACAAGAACTTAGTAAAAAGGTACAATAATATGTATCCAATGTCAAACAAATGAAGTGCAAAAAGAGAATATATGGATCAGTCCAAGTCTAGACAAAATAAAAGCAAGTGAAAAATGCCATGTAACCATTTCAGATGAGAAAAACCCCAAAGTAGGCTAGGTTCTTTGAATTGTCTGACGCCATCAATGAAGAGTTTTCAGACTGTGTATGCAGGACAAGATGGCTCTTATTTTTGAATTTTTCTTATAAAATTTTAGGGATGTCTTGTTGAAATTATTTTGGAGTTTTTTTTTAAGATTTTTAAGTTTTTTTAAGGATTCCAAGGTTTTTTTATATATTTAGAATTTGAGAAGTTATCTAGAAAAACATTTAGAGTGCTTATGGAATTTTTTGTTTTATCTGGAGTTAAAAAGTCCTCACCAATTTTTATTTAAGTTAGAACGGTTTTAGGCATTTTACTTTTGGTTAGGGGCATTATTGACTTTGTAATTAAACAGTAAACAAAAGAGAGGTGCGTGGATCCCCATGGGACAATTGATGTGATTTTTTAGGAAAGAAAGAGAGAAAAAGCTTTGGCTTTTGAAGACCTAGGAAGGTTTTGAAGAAGAAACCAAAGATTTCTTCCACTTGTTGCATGTGTTTGGTGTGAAGCTTGCTGATTTTGATGCTTTATTCAAACTTCATAAATCAATTTAAGTATCAGAGCTCAGGTTTCTTCAATAACAAATCCAGGGAACTATAACCAATTCTAGAGTTTGCTGATTTTGGGCTAGGGATTTCCAAATTCAGCCTAGATCTTGCTGATTTCAATTATTTGGTGATTCTATGTCTAGGTTAGTGATTTTAGTGAACCAATAACAATGAGAAGGGGTCGTGGAATGGGGGTTTCCGTAGACCCAATTAATGATCCAAGACAAAAAGAGATTGAAAACCTCAAAAGGCAAGTTTGAGAGCTTATGAAGCGGCTCACAAGTATCAATCATGAGCAAGATGGTTATCTTTCGGTCCAAAGAGATCTAGAATACAACCCGTTTCACCATTACGCTCCGTGTGAAGAGTCAAGTGAAGAGGAAAGTGATAGAAGACCTAGATGTGGGGGACATCACTTTAGGATTTTCGATTTGAAGGAAGACATTATTGATTTAAATGCAAGTTTCCAAAATCAGCAATTTGTAGATTGGGATCCGCAACCAATCTTCGATACATAATCAGATGAACAACTAGATCTCTTAGGAAATCCTAACTATGATAGGCTTTAAGATGATGTTTTGGAAGAGGATTTTGCTCGTGAAGAATACAGAGAGACGACAGTAGGGGGACTGATCAAAATTATGGCCTTTGAAGATCTCAAGGATATTTAGAAGGTGGAGCATTCACGAGATTTGGGGCATTGGAACTAGCAGCATAGGGGTAGCATGGCCAACTCATAAACCGCAAACTATGGCCCTGAATTCAAAGAGTAATGAAATAGGTGTCAAGAAAGCCTTTTAAAGCCAGAAAATTGAGTTTGAAGTTTCCCACACGATTTTCAATGTGAGTTCAAGGACAAAAGAATTTGATAAATTTGTATCAATATACATACCAGGATCCTTTTCTTGAGGATTTCTTATCATGAATAATAATTAAGCTAACAAAGAAGAAGGTAGAAGAAGGTGGTTTCGATGTTGGATTCATCTTAGCCCATTTCAAAATTCAAGGATGAGTTTTCTCCAACCAAGGGAGAATGATGTAAGACAAGATATTCTCTTATTTTTTGAAATTTTCTTATTAAATTTTAGGGCTGTTAGAATTCTTTGGGCTATATTTTTAAGATTTTAAGTTTCCTTAGGGATTCCAAAGTTTTTTTATATATATTTAGGATTTTAGGAGTTATTTAGAAAGAAATTAGATTACTTATGAAATATTTTGTTTTATTAGGGGTAAACATGTCATTATGAATTTTGATTTAAGTTAGAATTGTTTGTCATTTTGATTTTGATTTTGATTAGGAGCATTATTGACTTTGTAATTAAAGTATTGAATAAAAGAGAGGTGTGTGGATGCCCGTTGGGCAATTCACGTGATTTCCAAAGAAACAAAGAGAGAAAAAGCTTAGGTGTTTAAAGACCTAGGTAGGGTTTGAAGAAGAAACCCAAGATTTTCTTCTACTTTTTGCGTGTGTTTGGCTTGAAGCATGTTGATTTTAGTGTTTTCTTCAAATTTCCTACATCACTGTGTAATCAATAAAACATGCCGAGGGTGTCATCCTAAATAATCAAAATGCTCTATAATCTAGATGCAAAAACTATATTCATGGAGATCCATGCTTCTTGCATCTCAGAATGGTCAAAACAAGGCTGTGGTGGTACCAAACTGTGCAGTTCTTTATGCAGGTTTACTAAATATTTATTTTTTAGTCCATGAAAATAAGTAAAAGAAACAAAAATAAACAAGAAAAATAAAAGAAAACAAATTAAAGAAATCTGTTTGCCTCAAAGATAATGAGCTCTAATCATAAACATAGATAAAGTCTAATGATCTAGCTGCATACTAATCAAAACGGTCTCAACTACAAAAGATGCAACATCATTCCATCATTGTGTTTCTTTGCTTTATGAAAGTACCAAGCATATAACAAGTTTTGGTGTTAAATCCACGAAAGAAATTGATGAAAGGCAAACTTATACTTATTTTTAATTTCTATTCAATTTTAAAGGATGTATATTTTGATTTTGTTTTTAGGATTTTTTGTTTTTTATTTTAGTTTTAGGATTTATATTTAGGATTTTTAGTTTTTTTGGACTTCTAGGGTTTTTATAGTTTTTTTATTTTTTACATGAGTACTATTCACAAGTGCTATTCATGAGTCTAGTTCATGGGTACTGCTCACAGGGGTAAAACTGTCATTTAAAAAATTAAGTTTTAAGTTAAGATATATAAGTCATTTTAATCATTGTATAGACATGTAATGTCTTTTAATATTGTATAATATATAAGAGGTATGTGGGCCTTGAGAGGGTCAATTCCACATGACTTATAGAAATTGAAAAAGAGAAAGCTTTGGCTTTTAGAATCCTAGCTTGGGTAAGGATAAGAAACCCTAGGGTTTTTGAATTGTACTTGTGTTTGGCTTTGTTTCTTGCTGATTTTATTGTTCCCTCAAAGTTCTCTGCATCAGAAACGTTTAGGAGAGCCTCAAATAAATCAAGGCAATAACAAAAGCACTTATTTCTATTCAATAATTATTACCTAGAATGATATAAATAGAGAGAGAATGGTAGGTAGCACATCATGAAAGAAAATTGACAACAATAAAATTTTGCTTGCCTTAACAGATAATGATAATGACAAAGCCACAGCTCCCCGTAAACCTGACCATACGAGAACAGTAGCTTCTTTCCAGTCCAGACCATAGCCAAAGCATCGCAGGCCAGGATATAATAGTCCCACAACTATAGCACGAGACACTTGAACAAAGACGTAAAGGAGTAAGAGGTACATCCATGAGGATCCTGTAAACCACATCTACACGAAACTTTGTTAGGAAGAATGTTACCATTGTTGTGTATTTAACATGAAGTAAAACCAGTAAACGATACTTCTTTAAGATGCAGTTTTCGTTTACAAAAGGTGACAGAGCTCTTCATTTTGACCCTTAGGTTTATTATTCTACCTCACAAAATACCCACAAGAGAAAGTAGGAGTGCATGCATATCCTTGTTCTTTAGTATATATTATTTAGAAGCAGTGGATTTCAATCAAGAGAACAAAGATACAACTGTAACATCATATTCTTTTCAATTTACATAACCATAAATACAAGGTTCAATTCTATAAGCACATGAAATTAAAAGGAAAAACCAACATAAGTTTGAGGGTTCATCTAAGGAATTCAGTCAAATGTCAAATAATCACGGTTGACAAACTCTTTCAATTTCAAAAAAGGAGTGAGTCATTCATCATTGCAATTTTTCAACGCTTAGTGGCAAGCATTAGAATTTGAGCTACTATTGTACTGATTGTGGTATATTTCCAAATTGATCACATTGGGATAAATAGATAATCCTTACAAGTCTATTTCAATTCTTGATCCAAATGACTAGCTCCTTGTAGTTGCATCACATTATGAAAGCCAATGACATGGATTGGATCTCATAAAAGAGAACTACCTACTCAAGCATAAATATCCTTCATGTTATGAATAATTCAGCTAAATGAAGAAAGCGGTGCCACATAAACTATAAGTCTAAACTACAAAATAAAACAATAAAGTCTAAGCCTAACACGCAAAAAGAGGCACAAAGTTATAATAACAAAGAATTTTCTACAATAAAGCCAAATGGAGACCACCAGCAAGATAGCAAATCTTCTACAGACCTTCACTGTTTTTTTATGTTGAGGGTGACAATAATCTTTGTAGGTACTCAGCAGTACATGCACTCATCTAACATGTAATGAATCATGATTCTGATTCTATATGCATAGAAAGCATGCTATTCTTTTTGAATGACATCAATCCAAAGGTAATATGACATGTCATGATAACTGAGTTTTGTTTCCATGAAACAAACTGTTACCTTGGTTTTCAACATGGATTCCACTTCGAAGCACGCTCTCAGCTATAACAACCCCACTGCCAAAAACACAAAATTTCAAAGAATCGTTAGATTCTTCTTTGATGCCATGATCATGGTTAGAAGATGATACAATAATTAGCTCCTTAAAATGACATCAAAACTAGAAAACCTTACAATTTGGATATAGAAGAGTAGGCACAAACTTATCCTTGAATAAGGAAACAACAAAATCGTTTGTAGCTTTTCAATGTTGATTTTGTCCCCTCAAATGTGCCTTAGTTGTGTTTGACACTCCTTAAATGTCTGTAGGGTGAAGCATATGGACCATAGTTGTTGGGTTTGGGAGCGGGACCAGGTGCCAAATCGGGGTCAGGAGCGAGGAATCGTGAAATGCTAGGGGATCCCTATGATTGGAAGCATCATCCAACTTTTTGGGGATCATAATCGTAACTTTTTGGGATCTTGATCCCAACATTTTGGGATCTATGATTATATAATACTCTTTAAAATAAGTATTTCTTTATTTATCGGCAGCAAGCAATGCAACTATATTGAAACTATAGTTGCGTTACTACTTGGCTATAAATAAAGAAAATCATCAATATGGTTGTTGTTTTAGTCTTTGAGGTTGGGATTGAGATCACTAACAGTGGGAACAGAAATCCCCAACAATAAGGATCGGGATCCCAAAATTTAGAAATCGAGATCCTTTTCCCTTAATGTGGAAGCGAGATCCCAGATAAGGATCACCCCCTATTTGGAAGATCCTGGCAACTATGATATGGACCGTATAATATTATAGCCATTCATATGGCATCCACATATATAATATTGCAGCTTTTACATTAAATGAGTTAAGTGGTCCTAAGAAAAACCCCAAATGAAGAAATCTTACATTCCATGTTGTGATGTGGCACGTTTTGATATTGGAAATTGAGGCCACTTCAATGCAAACAAGTTACCTAGGGACATTGTGGAGAGGTCTTAAACACTGTCAACAACTCAGTGATACACAAATTCCCACACCCTTTGTGTGATGGACTAATGCTGGTCAATCACATCCCCATGCTGTCATGAGTTCAAAACAAACATGCATATACATACAGCTATATATATAAGCAAAGAACCTTTTTTTAGGTTTTTTTTGGTGACGAATAAGAGGAACTTGGAAGTTTACAGAGACAGGATGGTATTGATGGAGGAAGATCAGTATATGTCTAGGTTTCACAAACGTGAATATAAATGAGACACATAACCAACAATCTGCAACAACTCATGCAGCCAAACCTAGTTTGACTTAATCAAGCTTCTCTGAGGAAGCTGATACTAGTTCGAAACATTCAACCATAACCCATCCTCAAAATAAGTATTCTCAAACAAAAACCATTGCCTCACAATAAGTGGGGCGAAAGTACCGCCATCAATCATCTATAACATAGGGTCATGCTCTAACCACGAATATACTTACCATGCAAGGATGCGCAAAAATCATGCACCATTTATAGGTCTAGTATAGTTATAACTATAAATGTGGTTAAGATGAGAATGCGGTTGGGGTCAAGGTGGTAGCATCTCTTGTGCCCCAACAAAAGTCTAGGCTTCCATTCTCACCTAACACATTCAAAAACCACAAACGATTTCAAAAAACGGGACTCGTCATCCCCACCGAATTACCCAAAAAACAAATGTGGTCAAGATGCTAAGTTCATTTAATATTACTTGGGTTATGCCAGACTATATCCTGTGAAGGATAGGAGCGTTTACGATGGAACAAGGCACTGAAATTGCCAAATGATTGTTTTGTAATTCTAATAGATATTCTCATTAAATGTATGCTTTGATTTGCTTTCCCATAGAACACCATCTCTCTTAGAACAACAATGATACTTTTTACAAGGGAAATTGGTTTCATGCGGTGGCTGCTACAACCAACACATCATGATGCAACTCATTTTGTCATTTTATGGATGAGTAAGGACTAAGGACCGAAAAGATTCAAAATCCGTTCTTCTACCCCTGAGATCAGTGCCTAAAAAAATGGATCTGAAGCCCTAGAAAACTGCAATCTGGAACATCCATTTCAATGGCAAGTAGATCAATCAGTCGGAGCTTTTGAAAGGCTCCAGAATCATGTTGTTGTGATGGATGTCGATTTTCAAGTGTTTTTAGTGTGTATTGGGTTCTCATTCCATGGAAAAGTTGGAGAATGAGGTCCGGCCATAAGGGTATGAGGCGCAGCTGCAGCTGCACCTTAACAGACCATTCTACTTATCCTAAGGCATGTTCTATAGGTAAAAAACAATGCAAATTATTCAAAGATGAACAGTGAGTAGTATTGCTCATGTACTTGCCCCATCAATTTACAGAATATAAGATAAAAATAAACAAAAAAGATCATGCAAACTTTACATGCCAGGCAAAGGAGCTTTCTATCCAAATCATATATGTAATGCATCTCTAGTTCATTGCTTGGTGGTACATAAAAAATAAAAAAAAATAAAAAAAAAAATGAAACCACGATACCAAAAAGAAAGTCATTTTTCTTTAGGAAAAACATAAACTGCAGGTCTAAACCATGACCCAAGTATAGCTCAGAAACTTGATAACCATAAACACAGCAACATTATACAGTTATTTATAGTGTGACGGCGTTTACCTTAAGATAAAGATAAGAGTGTTTGCGATGTAGGCAACCATCTCCCTGGGGAGGCAACGCCAAACAATTTCAGAGAGTTCAGTAAGTCATATTATCATCAAAGTGGAGTAATTAAATATAAATTTCCACTATCAGCAAACATGAATCTAACATCTGCTACCATATCAATCATGACATACAGAATCCTCAAGGGAGGCAATAAAAAACAAACATGAATATAAGTAGAATGGTCATGTATGAACACCTAGAACGATGTATTAGAACCTTGAAGATACAAAATATCACTTCCCGATCCTTGAACACATTCCTTGACATTTATGACATTTCTAGTTATAGGAGGACTTGACGACTTTATTGTGTTATAAAGAGAGCAAAAGCCTCAAGTTGCATGAAACATAAAGAATTGCATTTGTAGGTTGCATCAAACAGTTTCTGCATATGGATCGCATCCCAAGGCAACATAAAGGTTTAAAAGTTACAAATATATTTTCCTTAAAAATGAAAAACCAAGAATGATAGAGCAAATGGATCTATTGTTTTGCAGGAAATTAAGGCTAGAGACATAGACACAAAGAATACAAACTTATAATTACATAGATGCATATGTACATGTATGCGTGTGTGTACAGGATGAACTTCCTTACAAATACTCTATATTTTTTGGATATGAAATATTCCTGTAAGCTATTGCAAATGATTTCCAGCAAGACTTTTTTCATCATTCTTCATGGACAATGATGAAAACACTTGTAATGAGAGACCTAGCATCGGTCAATACAAGAAATGGCTGGAAAAACCTTATGTCTTTGCTACTTATCACATTACTGTTTTTATATTATCCATTTGGATAGTCTCATTTGGAAAAAGGGGAGCAAATAGGCAAACTACCACGTATTTTACCTTCATAGATTGTTGATCTACTTCCACTTTTCTTAAGAGATTAGTTGAATCTATTGATTAGTACCTCATGGAATTAAAGCTGGGTGGACGAAGTGGGGACGTGCAACCAGAGTTTTATGCGATCACCACATACCAATGAAGCTGAAAGGAAAACTCTATCGCTGATCTGTGTTTATTAGGCTGCCTAGTTATATAGGACAGTTGTGAGACCAGTTTTGTTTTATAGGTTGGAATATTGAGTAGGCAAGAAACAATATACCCATAGCATGAGTGTAGATGAGATGAGGATGTTGCGACGAATAAGTGGCAAGACAAGATGGGATAGAATTCGAAATGAATACCTTCGGAAGAATTTAGGTGTGGCACAAATAGGCGATAAAATAAGAAAAAGTAGACGTAGGTGGGCTGGCCATGTGTGGTGCAAATCCAGTACAACAACTGTTAGGAGGTACGAGTTAGTTCAAGTGGAAGGCTCAAAAAGGGCAAGGGATAGGCCCAAAGGTTATGGTCGAAAATAGTGAGAAAAATATATGGACTTATGGCCTCACTGAGATATGACCTTTAATAGAACAGAATAGCAGACCAGAATGCATGTAGCCAACCGCAATTAGTTGAGAAAAGGTTTTGATGATGATGATGATTAGTACCTTATGGTTACTATGTAGTACTCAGGTATTGTTTGTCCTTGGTGCATAGGCAAGTTTCTCAATGAGACCATAGACCATTATTTTGGTAAGTCTTGTTTCTCTTTAAAGGAAAATAAAGATGGACTCATTACTTTTGGTAAGCCTCATTTTCCTTCAAAGATTGGTTCATAGGGAACAAACATAGCAAAGGAGGTGTGTAATCATAAAAGGAATACTGGAGTACTTGACACAAAGAAGAAGTACATGAATTACAAATATACCAGAAATGATGCAAGCTTTGTTGGCTTTCACCCTTGAAAGCTGTTCGAGCCACTGCAGCATAGAACCTGTCAACATAGTGACATGTCAAGGGAAGAACTTAGAATAAAAATTATAAGAAAATATCCAAATTGCAGTACATTTCACTTACATTCCAACAGTCATTACTGTCAAAACTCCGGACACTTCAACTTCATCATCAGCCTAGCACATAATGAACAATATATGAGTTTTAATATTGTTCACACAGAAACAAGAAATTAGTGGTGACACAATAGTTCAATTCACTTTTGTATAGTAATACAATTTTATATATCTTTCATGCGGTAGCAAGTCCAGTAGAATGTGCATGCATGTAGCAAACAGAATTGGCAATGGAAGAAAATACGAGAAACTATGATGTAACTGGGGCGGCAGAAAAAATAATCCCAGAAAATCAATATATTTTCAATCTCTAGAATTCGCCCCTCTAGAATTTTCATTCATAATTTATAGAAATTACTGCCAGCTTCATTTTACAACATTTACATTCACTAAAACAACCACCTTGCAGTATAAATCCAAAGACAGTCAAAATTCAATGAGACATGTTGACCAAGCTAACCAATGTACCAATTCCCCACACTATAAGATTAATGACCTCAACTGAAAATGAGAAACATAACTAATCTAACCCCAAAATAAATTGAAATGCCTAAACTGCCCCCATAATTCCAGCAAATATGAAAAGACAAAAAAGTCCCTTGAATATGAAATAATCCCTCCCAACAAAACATTATTCCCCCAGGTTCGAGGGAACTCGACACCGGTTGGAAAAGCCAAACCCACCATTGCAAAATTAACCATAACCAATGCAACATATATTCCAATTCAAAATATTCAACTTTTATGTAAGAATCCTATTTCCGGCATACACTTTTCGGAATCAAAATAAAGTCTCATGCACATGTATCATGCAACACCCATTTCCAAGTCAACAACCAAGCTCATCAGGCGTCCATTTTTGCACTGACTAGTAGTGTTAGTCCAACACTGCATCATTCACTCCTCCTCGGAAAGAACTCAACCTTGTGTTCAGTAAATCTTAACCAAGCTCATTTTACTTCATATGAACCTTTGATTTTAGGTATGGTAGTTGATGTCGAAATTGTTCGACTCGTCATGGACCTCTCATAAGTCTCCACACTTCAAGAATTCATTCACCGTCATATTTTGAACTATCACTGATGTAATGAGTTTTTAAATTTTTTTTATTTTACTATTCTCTAGATTTTAGGTTTGGGGTTATTTTGGCTTCCTAACTCCGCCTTGGCAGGCCCCCTTCCCATGCCTAAGTAAAGGAGGAGAGCTGTATTAGGTAGACAGCCAGGTAAAATTTTGTGGCAACTTTTCATAAATCCTGAATCTTCGTTATTATGATAATGGTTAATTATGAGTTCCTAGTTTTCTTTTTAGGAGTATGTGCATTTTTTAGTTGTAGAGAATTGTTGGGTAAAAATTGGAATTGGAATTTTTTTTTTTAAGATGAAGGGTAGGGATTTAATTAGGGTTTCCTGGGAAACAAGTTAAGTGTTAAGGTTGTTTTTTTTTACAAATATGTAACTATTGGATCTGAAATGAGAAGAAGAATTTATTCGGGTCCTATGAAGTGATCTTTTTGTGGTGGACTCCCTTGTAGACTCTGAGACAAGGTATAATCTCTCATCTTTTAATTTTTATTTTAAATTTTTTGGTTATTTTTATTTTCCTTTCCCCATTCTCTCCTGCATCAATTGGTATCAGAGCCTTGAGATCTATACACCATGATCCCATCACAACCATCTATTGATCCAGATGTAGAGCGTGTGGATCAAATAATTGAGAGACTCAAAAAAGACTTGACAAAACGTATTGGTCTCTAATTTGTTGGATTAAGTCCAACAATCAAAAGTTTGATAAGAGAAGGGTGGAAATATCAGGTTGGAACATAGTGAAGAAGACAGTGACCATAAACTCGAGGTCGAGCTTCTTCCAACCCTAGGAGAATGATGTAAATTTTTATTTTAATATAATTTTCTGGATTTTAGGCTTGGGGATATTTTGGGTTTCTAGTTTTCTTTAAGGGTATTTATGTCTTTTTTAGTTGTAGAGAATTGAAAGGTAAAAATGGAACTTTATTTTTTAAAAAATATGAAGGGTTGGGATTTAATTAGGGTTTCATGGGGAACAAGTTAGTTTTTAGGATTATTTTTTTTATAAGTGTGTAACTATTGGACCAGATATGACGAGGAATAGAAAAAAGAACTTATTTTGGGTCTTATGAGGAGATCGTTTTGGGGTGGACCCCCCTACAAACCCCGAGAGAGGATACAGTCTCTCATCTTTCAATTTTTGTTATTTTTTTGGCTTATTTATTTTCTTTTTCCCATTCTCTCCTACATCAACCACCTTCAAAAAATTAAAGTTGTAATTGGTTGAAAAGTCCTCTCAAGAAAAGGTCTTCTCCCTTTAGAAACATCTTCATATACATATGGTGAGAATTCAAACTCTTCATAACATAAACTTTTTGGCCCATTGGAAATAGGTTTCTCCTCAACTGTTACCTTGATTGCATCTTCTTCATCGAAAATGGGTGGTTTGTACCAATCGACAATAGTTTCCAAAATGGCTCTCGAAGATGAGAATGACCATCCTACCACATCCATGTCGTCTTGAGAATGCTTCACGACTTGAATCATCCTGATTTCTTGATGATCAAAGCCTGCTCTGATACCAAATGATGCAAACAGAATTGGCAATGGAATAAAATACAAGAAACTAAGACATAACTAGGGCTATTGGGAAAATAATCCCAGCAAATTGATAGACTTTCAATATCCAGAGTTCACCCCACCAAAATTTTCATTCATAACTACTTTCTAATGAAAGATCTAATACGTTCAACATCATCGTTAAAGTTTTTTCCCACCTAATTGGGGTCGGCATCTAATACATTCAACATAAATCCAAAAAGCGGAGGTCTTAAGCTAATCCTAAGGATAAACTCGTTCTATTGCATACAAAAATGATGACCATAAACAGATTATAACTCATAGACTGATATATTGGACCATATTGAAATTAATTAAAAAAATCACAAAAAATATGGATTACTCAAAAAAGATTTGCATACTAGAAATAGGTAGCATAGACAGCAAAGGAAAAAAATAATCCAATGTTGAACATCCAACCCCGACCTGAATGCTGAAGGCATTTCAAGGCACACCTGCACTACTTGCATTTAACTCATTATGAAGTCCGAAGACAAAATATTGACCTAAAATTTTCCATCAGCATCACGCTAGCAATCAAGACAAAATCCTTTTGGCAACCCCATTAAAGTCCTTGGAGAAACAGATACAAGTAATATTTTACCATACAATTTGTTGGAATTATGTCCATTCAAGGCCTTAAATTCCGACATTTTCTATGGCTCTTAACTTCAGTGAGAGTAAAACAGTGACATGACTCTGGGAGCACATGGACCAAGAGCCATGGAACCCCAATTAACTCATGAGTAGGATTTATATGCATGGGAGGTACCGAGAGGGTTGAGAGTCACCTCTTAGTCAGGGTCGGTTGTCATGTTTGTGTGTCATGTCTAAGTGATGGGCCAAGGTATTACGATTTATGTATGAGCTTGATGACAAAAAGCCTTGTACGGGGAGGTTAGGACCAATAGAGGACATTGGCCTAAATCCCTGACTCTTAGAACCTTCTCGTAGTATGTGCATATACAGTTGCAATGCATGGAAAGACACTCTTATAGAAACTGGTTAAACGTATGCACATGTGCTAAGAGAGGAAACCCCTGCACCAAACGTGTGAATGTCCTCTAGGGGGTGCACCTGAAATCCACTTATGCTTGGGGATTCAGAATCGTACATCGATTTGATTTTGATTGGCTGAGAACATGAGCCCTTGATTATACACCCTTGATTATACATTGTGGGTCATGAGTCTATTGGGTCATACCGAGAAGGTGGCTTTGGATTCTGGCTCTAACCGAGTGGAGTGCTCCATTTTGTAATTCAACTCCAAGGATCCTATCTCTTGTAAATATTTTTAATCAATGCCAAAATGATTTATTTTGATGAAAATGATTTTTATGGATTCATGGAAATTTGTCTGGATTTTTTGGGCAAGAAAATCCATTTTTCAAAATTAGTTGAAACAAATGACAAACAAAGACAGTTACTCGGAACCCACATGGGCTACCTAAATGGCCAATGGGTGTCCACGTGTTGCTTGGGAGTCCCACGTCACCCCACGTGGAGATGATGTGGGGGTAACGTCAACCCCACAGGGGACCCTCCATGTCTTTATGCAGTTTGTTGTTTTAACTTAAGGACATTGAGTTATAGCTTTTTATGACATATTGAGTTTTTGAAAAAATTATTTTGCCACATGTTTAATACTTAAAGCAACGGGTTTTTGCACATGTGTGGAGGATTCTAGAAGCGATATAGGGTTTGTAATTACAAACCTAACTCTAAGGTTATGTGGTAAATATGCAATCAATCACCTAGTTTATGGGCATGATTTCATTGGCCCCACATGCTCTTACAAAATAGAGGGAACTTTTGAGATTTGTTTTTTGCTGGAATATTTGACAAAATTACCATAAAGTATAACCTCCATCTTGGTTTTAGTTTTCTTAAATCTAAAAGGCATGGGTATTTTAATAACAAGAGAAATTAGAGTGAATTAAGGGAGTATAAAGGTATTTAAATGCATACCACACATCTTGATGGCATGATGGTGGATGGTGAGTCAGGATCAAGCCTCTCTTTGTAGCCATTGGTAGATGACATGGACGGTCAAGATTCATCCATCTAGAAGCATCTCCATACTTGAAAGTTATAATCTTATAAATACCCCCTTGAGCCTTCATTTCCCACATGAGTTCACTTCACATTTTATCCTCCAAAAGTGGCATACATCTCTCTCCCTCTTCATCCATTGAGTGGCACGCCGAAAGCAAGTATTCTTCTTTTTTTCTCTCTCTAAAATTCTCCTTCATGTTAAGGTGATAGAAGAACTCCATTGAATGATTCAAAGCTCAAACTCAAGCCATGGATGATCTAGCCTTCAAGCCTTCAATAATAGAGTAAGATCATTTCTATTTTCATTGATTCCTTTAGTTTCTCTTTGCTGTAAATTATCAATTACAACAATATTTCTTCATCCTTTAATGATTAGATTTTTTATCCTTTGAATGATCATTGATCTCTCTTCATCCATATAGTTAAAGGTTTCATTCATGCATATTTTGACATAGTTTTCCAAGAACTTTCTTCTTTGATTTTTGGAGTAATTTTAGCTGATATTTCTTTAAGTTTTTCATGACCATATAAATCACTTAGATCTTCTTCATAATCTCTTGAATTGTTAATTTTATAAGACGAGACTATGCTGAAATTCTGAGAACCAAATTGTGAAGTCAATTGAACCAGTTTTGGGAATTAAGAGTCCAGTTTTCTCCCATGATTTTCCCACTTGATTTGATCTTTAGATATCTGCAAATCATTCATGTTTTAAGTGCGTATCAATAGATACTTGGCTTCCCACTTATTAGATGATGAATTAGCCCGGTTTTGAGGTATGCCGTCACATGTCACCCAATGGCACATAGCTAAGACCCAATGACGTAAACTGGGCACCCAAGAGCTCCGATTGGCTTCCCATGGTCATGATACATTGCATACTTGAGCATATGTAGTCAATATAACGGAGATCATGTTGTGATGAGTTTTTATAAGTCTATTGATATATAATTTTGCCTTGTAAATTTGAGTGGTGCTGAATTTTCAAATGCACACTATACATGTGTAGTTAGATAATCTCCTTTTATGGCTTGTTTTTTACATGTGCAAGGGACCCTAATTGAGTTGTATCTTCTCATTTGAGTATATTTGGAAGTCAATAGCTCACTGTAGTTACGGTGACCTTGCTGAAATTTGATATTGCAAGTTGTATTTTCAAGTGTATTGTAAAATTTCAAGGTGTATTGGTTTTGTATTTTGTCTACATTGTAGTCCAAGTCAAGAGAATTGGTTTCTATGCACTCTCAATTTACCGAACTACACAGTCTCAATGATAATCAAAGTTTATCCCAAATAGCATATTGGCCTCTTTAGAAGAAGTTTACAGGTTTAGAATTGATTTGCTGCATAAATTGTATAAGCTGCCAATATATGTCCTGCATGAAAATTTTAATGTATAAAAAAAATAAAAGAGAGATTGTATGTCAAGGCTGCTTTGATAATTCTAAATGGTTTCTAAGTACAACAGCCTTGAACAAGATGCTATTTCAGGTCTCAAAGTCATTATCACTGATACAACAGCCATTGTCTCCTTCATGGTAATGATCCTATTCTCAAGGATGGTGACTACTAGTGGACAGGAATTCATGATTTCAGCCTTCCACCTCCAGCTCAAGCTCTCACTCCTGCTCCCAGAGTAATCTCCCTCTCAAGATCTAAATTACCCTATCATTACATATTCTACTTGTGGTCATTCAGACCATCCATCAATTTTTGTCAAATAGTCGTATTTTCTGAATAAAAAAAAAATTTTGGGACAGATTCAGATGGATGGGCACAAGAATATAAACAGAAAAGTCTAGAATATTCAGCAAAGCCCTATCTTTAGAGTCCAAATTTCAAAAAAGACAAAATAGAGATAATGATCTTACAATGAAGTATGCGATGTAGCTCACTGCAAGTGTCAAAGTGATTTCTATGACAGTGTCGTTGAAAATAAATCTGAGCCACACAACAGATACAATGCCGAAAGCAAGACCAACAGCTACACTGAACCCAAGAAATAATCTCATAAGCAATTCCACATTTCAAAAACCTACATCTTCTCCAAAAACAGTAGTAGGTACATACGCTCCAAGTGATACTCTAGTTAGAAATTTGACCACTGCTGCAGTGTCGAAGCTCTGACCAACAACCATCTCAAAGAAAAGCTGGTATACCACGATAGCTGTCCTGAAAACGGTAGGGATTTCCTTTTTAAATTTCAGATATAATCAAAGCACGATAGCCATCATAAATGTTTATTTATGCCTGTGTCCCACTATATCATATGCTTAAAGCCATAAACCATAGTATTTTGGTGGAAAACATTATTTTCAAGATAACTTCTATATGAATGTATGATTGCTTAAAATTTCCACAATATATCCACAATATAAGAAACTTAACAAGATTATAAAAAATATTTTAAAACCTTTTTGAAAATAAAGAAGATCAGTAATACCCATCATTCATCAACGACTCTCCCTCAATTATAGTATTCAATTTTTTGCTTGCACCAAGTTCTTTTAACAGAGCTACAACGGCAACAGGATCTGTGGCACTAAGAAGCCCTCCTAGCAGCAAAGATGTTTTCCAATTCCAGCCAAATGGAAACCACAACTGCAAGAAATTATAAGACAAGTTTTATCAATACAGTAATAGCTTCAAATATTAGACACATCAGCGGATAACAGGTCACTTACTTTACAAGCAATTCCCAAACAAAAGGTCGAAATTAGAACCCCAGGAACAGCAAGAAGCACCATCTGTGCCAAACATCGCTATGGGCACCAAAAGATCAAATCAGTTTTTCCACAATATACTGTCATTAAAGCAAATTTATTTCCAATTCAGAGACAAAATAGAGTATTGAACCATGACTAAAGCCACACATAGAAAGAGGCTGGGGGATGTGTAATGATGAATGATGATTAAAACCAAACATAGCAAGAGTTTGGCACTAGAAAAAGTTTTCATTACGTCAAACCTAATAATAACCCTATTTTGGTATCTAACTAAAGGATAGTAGGTTTCAGGCCAAAGGATAGTTCTTGAGAAGCACCGTAGGTTGGACATTGGACACGTGTTCCCTTTCTAGGATAAGTGTACTAATCAAAATGCCTTAAAGTCAGAATCTAGCTCCAAATTCATGTAAATCAGTACTGATGGGTGTGCAAAGGCAAACAATTAGAATTACCACATATTGCATCAAAAGTAATGAAGGTCAGAATACATGTTCTCTACTTAGTTGAAGGCATAAGGAAAAATATCAGTCCAGAGAATTTGTTAAAGAACCAATTTCTAGGGAAATTTTCAATATCTATTTTTCTTTTTGGGAATTTCTCCAACAACATTGATATTATAGAAATCAACTTTCAAAAGAAAAAAAGAAATCCTAGTATAGAAAAAAAATCCTGGTATAGAAATTATTACCTAAAAAAAATTCCTCACAAAGTACACCGATTTTAGTACCAAAAAAAATTAGAAGTAGGAAACTCACCTTGATTTGGTGTACTTCCATGGCAAATGAACTCTCAAATAGTAGAGCAGGAAGAAAAACGGATAATAGGAGTTTGGGATTAATATCAGACCCTGCATGTCAATTACATCACATAGAGCTTAGGTTTTATCTTACTTTAAAGAAAATATAGGTTTTATTTCTCTTGACTAGATCAAATGATGATGTACTAGAATTGTTAATGATAACCACTGCGGAAGTAAGAACATTTTCACTTGACACAAAACCTCTATAAAACATATATAATTATTAACTTACAAACACGAATGCTAGCGCCCAATGTCCCCAGTCCATGTTTGGTACCATATTCTGCAAATCAAACTACACAAGTAAGGTTCTAACAAGCCTTTTACATGTGGGTAGCAAAAACAAAACATAAATTCAATAGGATCAAAATACAATGATGAAAGTGTGGGAACAAAGCAGTAATTCAAGGTCTGCAATATAAGGTATCCAAACCGCTAGGCAAATGGGCTTAGCTAATGTTGCTAGTGGGAACTTTCAAGGAAACCAAGCAACCATTAAGATTTTATGAGCGCTAAATAAATGAAGCCTCCTAAATATGAACAACTGATATCATTTGCAGCATTCATCACCCTTAATGAAAATTACTTTTCACTTAATTACTAAATCACCCATACCAAAATGAGTGTTCAGAAGCTTGACTCGTTTCTTGGCCAAGCCGAGTGGACTCGGCCAAGTCCTGCATAACCCAAAAAAGGGCCAAAAAACAATTTAAAAAATAAAAAATAAAAAAAGTTAAGAATATGAGATAGCATGAGGTAATAGAAATCATTAGATGAAAAATCTCTAAAAAGATGGATTATTGAAATTTTTGATTTAGATATTGAATATTTCCAACAAAAATTGAAAAAGGGGAAAAAATTATGAAAGTTCCCAAATCGCCTTAAAACTATCAAAATCATCCAAAAAACTAATTATTAGTAATATGGTGGTCTTTTCCAATTTTTTACATTTTTTCCATTTTTGTATTTTTTTTCTTCCTTAATATGGGTGGGACAAGTTGCTGTGGAACTTGCCCCTACTCAGGTCTCACCCATATGGCGAGCCCAAATCGACTCCAAGCGAGTCATGGAGCACTGACAAAATCTATGGGGTCCACCACCTACAGGGACCATTATTTCCTTTCCTTTTCCAAGTTCAAACTTAGAGTTTAACTCCAATATCAATAGCTAAGAGCGATCACCCCCCAATAACTAAATTTATGAATCCCCATTAAGATTATGATACAAAGAAGCATGTAGAAATATAGATATCTTCTACGAAATAAATTGGAAGGATATGGAAATCATTTCACTCGAATCCCCCCCAAACAAAAAGAAAAGGAGTAGCACAATGACTTCACCAGTAAAAAATATCGTAGAGGAAAAACCAGAGGCAAGCGCAAACAACTTCACGGATGATGGCATTATGAGAAATTTGATCGGAATGTTCCATTTCCTCTAGTTTCCCAGTTTCATGGTATATAAATATAATAATTAAAATTAAATGCGGTGCGAAATTGAAGCTCACACAAGCAAAAATATGGCACCATAAATAAGAGTTCATCCATTCACCATAAATAAGAGTTCATCCATTAACGTCAAAACACCACATCAGAGAACAAGAACAAAGGATTATTCAACCATTAAACAGAAAACAACAACAGATCAGGGAGCAGTCATAGGAGGAGACTGACCGAGAGATCCAAGGCCAATGCCAAGCACAAGCAACGCAACTGTGTAAGGGACCCTAGTTCCTCTTAGCAAGTGCCTCGAAGCTATGCCAAGAACCAGAGATAAACCGACAAAAAGCACTGCAACTTCTGGTCCGGGGGAATTCTCTTCCTCCAATATCTCGTTTGGAAACGGAGCTTCAGTCACAGCCGCCATGGTTGAGGTTTCAAATACAAAATCAAACGAAGAATTTGCAGAGATATGATCCGATCAAAGACCAGCAAATGGTCATTCCCTTGAACTGACGTGATGGAGCTCTTAGCTACAAAATCAAATGGAAGGATAGAGGTTTCACAGCTGAGTATGAGAACAGAGATTCAACCAGTGTTCCACTAATTATGAGAAAAATATTGCTTCATGCCTGAATCTCAATTCAAGAGAAAATGCAACACCACAAGTTGCAGAGCAAAGATGTCATCCCAGATTCAACCTTCGGTCACTTGCTTAACCAAGCATAATCGATTTGAAAATCGAGACAACAGAAAACCGGAAAACCAAGACAACAGAAAACCGACGCTGGGAAACCAAAACACAGGGAATCTCGGTCAAAATCCTGGCACATTATTCACTAAAAAATTCATAAATTATTGTTTCTCTAATATCGATTTCAAAATCAAAATATGACCAAATTTAGGGTAAATCCCTTCAGGGGAGCGCTAATAAAAGGCCATGATTTCTCCAGTTTTGAGACATCTTAATAGGACTGTGAGCTTTTCTTCTCTGGTTTTCGTTTAGAAGAAGATGGCGTTTTTGGGTGAGAGAATTTGGGGGAAGAGGGATTTTATGAGATGCAGAATGACAGTGAGTTCTAGGCCTTGGATTGAGGACGCTTGCTTGAAAATCAATGATTGTGACGCTCTGATGGGTCTGCCAGATAATGTGGTGGTACCGCCGGCTTCAAATTCATCGGTGTTTTTGGGTCAGTGTCGAAGAAGGAGAAGATGAGTCCCCATGTCTTCAAGCTCGGGGTTTTACAATCAGCTTTCTCCCTCTCTCTCTCCACGCGATAGTTGTTTACTCTCTTTCTCTCTCTATTTGAAATCTTTGTTCTGAATCAAATGTAACGAATTATTGCTCGACCTGGTCAGTTGGCACCAAGTCCGGTGGCACAATCTTTACCTAGCCGATCCTCACAAGCTCTTCGGTCCATACCGGTTGCACAACAAAGTCAGTTGTCACGACCCCCCCCCTGACCGCTACGTTCCCAAACCGGATGGCATCAGAGTGCGAGATTGCGATCAAAGGTCGTATACATCACTCAATTGGGAGTGACATCAACACGTGATAAGAGTGCGGAATCAAAGCAAACCACAAAAAATCAATAAAATCTCATCCAACAAAAACTAAATATTGAATAAATTAAAACCACTAACTTCATTCATATTCAAAAGTCTTTACAATAAAGGTTGAGGCTGTATTAATCAGAAGTTAGAAAGAGATTACATTATCCGAAGTTCAAAAAGATGTAAGGGTCGAACCACCTTTTGCAAGATAATTGGCTAGCACATTAGCCTCACAAAAAACATGCACAAACGAAGTATCCAGAGTCCTAGATAAATCCCAGATCTGCAGCAAGGTGGACTTAAGCTCCCAGGGGTGCCTAAGAGTTCCATTACACCAATTAATAACGTTAAGTGAATCCCCCTCCACAATACAAAACCGGCCAAGTTGCCTTTCAGTGAAGATCTTTAAGCCATGAAGAAGGCTCTGTATCTCCTCATAGGTGGACATTCTGTCCCTAAGGGGTCCAGCATAAGAAAACACCACCATACCATTCCAGTCTCTTAAAGCACCTCCAATGCCAGTCGGACCAGGATTTCCAAAAAAGCTTCCGTCAAAATTGAGTTTAAAAGTTTCCTCCAAGGGGGGCACCCATCTACCCTTCGGCCTACTTTTGAAGACATTTAGACGAAAGAGGATTAAAATCAACTTCGAACATATCAGATCGATCCTTTGACACAGAGCAGAAGAGCCACATCCCACGAAGAATATTGTCCAACACCTTCGCAAAAGGTAAGCTGGCACTATCGAAAGCCCTACGGTTCCTTTCCTTCCAAACCTCCCAGAGAATTAGACCTCTCGCCATCTGCCATAAGATCAAGCCAGCCTTGGGCAGGGGAACCGACAAATTCAAGATAATCCCAAGAACGGGCATCACCAAGGCAAGACCAAGTTCATCAAAAAACCAGCACTAGATTCGAAAAGTGAAAGGGCAATGAAAAAAGATTTTTGTCATGTTTCAGCATCCAATTTACATAAAAGCACACATTAGGAAACACCTTACCTCTCTTGATAAGGTTGTCAACAGTGAGAATCATATTTTGCACTGCCAGCCAAAGGACAGCTCTTATCTTTAAAGGTAAAGGCCATTTCCTGATTGGGGCAATCTGAGGCATCGACCATATCCAGCGGTCATGGAACAAGAGGTTATACATGGACTTAACTGAGTACTGTCCATCGGGCTGAATCTCCCAAATGACTGTGTCAGAGGCAGTATGTGGAACATACACCTCATGGAGAAGGAAAAGCAACCCAATGAATTCTTGAAAACAACATCGGGAATCCTACTATAGGGGAGAGAAATGTCCCAACTCACCTCGCAACACTTGCGTACAAACACATTAGCGGCAGTAGCATTGGGGTTAACCATATGTCGAAAAAAAACAAGAAAGAGAAACTTCAAAGGCACATCTCCAACCCACTTGTGATGCCAGAAAGAAATGCTACAACCATCACCCAAGCACCACTGGACATCCTTGTGAATCAACACCCTACATGAATGAATGTGCTTCCAGAGAGAAGACATCGCCTGTGAACCTCTTCTACCTCCTACCCACATCTGAAATCGATCAACTGCATATTTTACAGCAACAACTTTGTACCACAACTAGTCTTTAAAGACCAAGCTTCTCCACCACCACTTAGACATAAGTGATTGGTTAACTAAAGTAACTCGCCTTAAGCCTAGTCCACCTTCCATCCTAGGGGTACACACCCTATCCCAGCGCAAGAGGTGAAACTTTTTAGAGTTGTCGAAGGAGCCCCACAAAAAAATTTTCATCTTTCGATCTTCTTGACTACCCTATGAGGAATCTGCAGCAAGGACATTTGATAGATCGGTAAATTCGAGAGACAAACTTTAATCAAAGTAATCCTACCTCCAAAAAAGAGTCATTTATACTTCCATAAATCAAGTTTAACTTGGATTTGTTGGATTACTTTATCCCATATAGCCATAGGTAACCTCCCATCTGAAATAGGCAGCCCCAAGTACAAGATAAGGAAGTTCTCTACTTTGCACCCCAGGGTAGTTGCTAATTGGGCCAATAAGGAGTCATCACAGTTAATACCAACTACAACCAACTTCGCGAAATTGACCTTAAGTCCTAATGCCCCTTCGCAAATGTTCAAAATGGTAGCAATCCTAACCACCTGCTCAGTCTTAGCCTCACAAAAGAGCAAGGTGTCGTCAGCATACTGAAGGTACAACACACACGGCCATCATTGGGCAGTTGAAAGCCTCGAAAGTATCCCTTAGCCACCACATTGCAAAAAACGTATTGAAGCACTCAGCGTAAATGGTGAACAAAAAAGGGGATAGGGGATCACCTTGACGGAGCCCCCTAGTAGTGCGGAAGAAACCAGAAGGACTACCCTTAAGAAGTACTGAGAAATGCGAAGACGACAAGCACCCAAGATTTTGACACATTGGGTCTCCTGAGAAATAGATTTCAAAGTCTGGGGGTAAGGAAAAATTTTCCCTTAAATATATTGGTATTTGTAGAATGAAGCGGTTGTTGTATAACTGCTACTTTATGTCCGCTGCCCTAATGCTAGTGAGATGGTAGGATAGTCTTTTAAGACAAAGTTGTATGCCCCTATTTTAGGAAGAGAGGGCACGAGGAGGTGGTCGATGCAGAGAGAGAGGTGCGGATCCATCTTTAGATCCTAAAAAACTAAAAAATATTCATGTGGTATTTCTTTAGTAAGATTTTGGAAAGGAAGAAGTTTACATAGAGCGAGACTATAAACAATCAAATTCAAACCTACCTCAAAAATTTCACTAGAAGACCCCAAATATCTTCAAATTGATCATTTCGACATTAAGATGTATGGACATGAGAAAAAAATGGAATTCAACTTTTGGAAATAGTGTATCTTGTAACGCAGTTTTGGATGGTCAATTTTCAAGATATTCAAGTTTTTATAGATCTGCTCGATCTACACTATATTTGAAGGTTTAAATTTTATAATTAAAAAAAAATTATATTTTAAGGCTATCATAAAGATTTCCAGCAATAAAATCGCATCTCGATACTATTTGAAGGTGTGTTTTATTTTGATTGTTTAGAGCCTGAGCCCTATACAAACTGCACCCTTTTAGAAATTACAATGTTTATGATTTCATAAATTTAAGGGATATGGAGAGAGACAGTGAGGACGTAATGGGGGGGGGGGGGGGTATATAGAGAGAGAGGGAGGGGAATATGTAGGGAGAGAGGGGGTAAGGAGAGAGAGATTAGAAGGGGTGAATAATTGGAAGCTAAAATCAAAATCTAAAAGCATGCAAGGGTAAGTTTCTATTTTTAAGAATTCTAATTTTGTCTAAGTTTCTATTTTTAAGAATTCTAATTTTGTCAACCGATCAAGAGAAAGTCTGAGATAATTTTCTCGGAGATCAGAGATATATTATTTTCATTAGCCTTGCCCTATTTTCAATGAAAACTTACCTCTTTTTCATTGGCCTTCATTATTACCCTGATTGCTAGAGTATATAAGTGCACATATTGATACTTTTGGATATCTTTGATCTATATTTTTACTATTAATTATTGCCGCTCCAAAAAATATAATTTATATTTTTATATCTAAATTTTCTGGTGCATTTTTTTTCTCTATCTACCAGTTCATCTGCTTGCAGGTATGTCCCTTTCATCGTCTCTTCATATGTTGCTTTATTTAACATATTAAATTTTGGGAAAGCTTTTATTTATAACTATCTTTGTTATTTGTTTAAAATTTATAAAAAAAATTACATTGTATGCTGACAGTTTTTATTGTTTCATGGGTTCATGCAGATAACATCAACGATGATATTTGTACCTAATTTACTAGGAGGTAGAAATAGTGATGGATATTTCAAATAATAAATATTGTATGAGTAGTTTTATAATATCAAAATTTTTTGCCTAATGTATTTTTTTTTTACAATATTATGTGATTTTATTAATTTTTGCATCTTTATTTGCCTAATGTATGTTTTGATACTTTTTTGCTTAATTCCATCGGAAGAATTTAGGTGTGGTACTAATAGGCTTATACGAAGAGAGAAAGTAGGTTTAAGTGGGCTGACCATGTGTGACGCCGACCAAGTACAACAACCGTTAGGATATGCGAGTTAGTTCAAATAGAAAGATTTAAAAAGGCAAGGGGTAGGCCCAAAAGGAGTAGCCAACCACATTTAATTGTAAAAAAAGGCTATACTGATTATGATGATATTTTGATATTTTTTTATCTCCACTTACATTGTTAAAGGCTATAATGATCATGATGATATTTTTTTATCTCCACTTACGTTGTTAAAGGCTATAATGATCATGATGATATTTTGGTAGTTTTTTATCTCCACTTACATTGTTAAAGGCTATAATGATCATGATAATTTTTTGATATTTTTTTATCTCCACTTACATTGTTATGCGCAACGCAAATGAAATACAAATTGACTAGTATGACTATAAGGTATCAATTTTATTTTTGAAAAGTTAATATAAGATGTCCACCTTTAATCAAAGTAAGGCACACTTCTAAATCTTAATAAAAGATGCAATTTTAATAACAAAAACCCTTATGACGATCTAAAAATATATTTTTGCCCAACTAAAAGCTACAAAAATCTTGTATAGAATGAGATCTATAAACACTTCAAATCTTGAAAATAGATGGTCTTGACAACGTGTTACAAAATGTACTACTTTTAGAATTTGAAATCTTTTTCTTTTTTTTATATCCACGCGTCTCGATTGTCGAGTTTTTTTTTTTTTTTTTTGACACCATAACAAT